TCGAATACAAAACAAGAAACTTGGATATTTAAGAAATACAAGTTGTGGTGTCATCCATTTGGCTGTAATTTGCGCTCGAAAAGTAGAGTTTTCACATTTTATTAATTTTCTCAGAAACTATAATTGATAGAATGGATCCAAAAGATGCATATGAAACTTGGACATTTAGGGCATAAAACGTATATTTATATATTGCTTTGGTATCATCCATTTGGTTGTGATTCGCACTCCAAAATGTAACAATGCAAAACTCAAAGTACATTTGATTCCAAAGAGCAACAAGAAACGATTATTTTCATTTCTCGTTTGATTATTCAATACGAAACATTATAGAAAGTTTTATTTATAAACAAGCTATGACACATCTCTGCAGAAAACTCTTTATGTAATAGACCTCACACACACACTCTAACCTGACTAATGCAGCCTTGAAACACATTCAAGAATGCGTTACAGCTTCGATTGCTTTAAATCTTGAGGTTCGTTTCAAACAATTATATTATATATGAGAAGAAAAAAAAAAGCAATCAAGATTGTAGGGCAAACGAAACCGCTCCTCCTTCGCCGAACGTTTAACAGCGGTTTCGTCCAATTTTCTTCTGCAATTAGCTCGGAATTATATAAATTAATGTGCGTGTAATTGCAGCAGCAAATAGACGACGTATGTAAATACTAGCTGATATCATAATAAATAATTAAGTACGTGGAAACGGTTTCTCCTCACGGATTTCACATTTATTTATCATCTGAATACAAAAAAAAACACTCACTTTCTTCAAAAACAACAACTTGTAACATTTAACACAATCAAATTTGAAAGATTTCGTCAAGTAATCAATTGCTACTTGTATTTAAGTGCATTAAAACAAAAGTATAAACTAAGAAGAAACATGATTAACGTTTTTGCTTTCTAATTTTAAGAGTTTAAGTGAACGACAGCCGCAATCTTGATTCATTGATTCATTTTGTCCACTCATTGTAGTAAAAAGTTTCGTCATCTCTACACACACATTCCAAATCTTAACAAGAATTAGTGCAGGCGTTGCAATCTTTCGTTCATTTGTTTTCGACTCCGTTTGTCAAGTTTTCTGTGCAAGCTTTCAAACACTTGACAAAATAAACGTCAGATTGATACTTGTTGCTGCAACTTCAATTACATCTATATATAAATCAAATGATTCCATAAACTATTTCAAGGTTTAAATTACACGATTACTAGACGTGCTATTGTCCAACTCTAAAATTAAGTAGGTGATGGTGAAAAAAAATCGATACTTGTTGCTTCCAGCTAAATGCTACACGTAATTACCGCAAACCTATTTTATCTAAAGTATCTGTTACGTTCCAATCAGGAACTAATCGATCCTATTTAAAGGTAACTAAAACCATGTAGACTTTGAATATGTAATAACACACTCGTTCGACATTCTCACTTTATGCGGAATTCACGTGGGCAGTTCGATAACATCTAGGAAACACGAATATTCTGCAGTACGAATCTGACACAAATCCCTGCTGCGATGATCCACTTCCTCCTCGTGCTTTCTCGAAGAACTTGTTCCATTATATCCGTCCCTAAGGATGCGTCACACTGACTGCAATATCCTTTGTGCCGCTGCTTTCATTCTCCTCGTTATTTGTCCTTTACAACCACGTTTTTTTTTTGTTACATTCGCGAATCGTTCTTTTCTATAAAATAATTTTAAAAAAAACGAGCATCTCCACGCAAATATGTAAAGTGAAACAATAGTTTTATGATTGTTTCTAAATATAGAAGTGCATACAAATAACACGGAACGAGTTTCATCCCTCGAGCAAGCAATTATTGCAGAAAACCCTCGAGATTCCGCGCAATCATGGCCAAGGTCGCCGAACACAGAAATTAACATTGCAGAAGTTCATGATTTGGTCCGAAGTCAAGTCAAGGTCGGTGTATGCACCGCTAACAAATTCATCTTGCATAATCGAATCGTCAATAGTTTATAAGAAGCTCTGCATTCGATGAAAATCTCACTTAGCAACAGATTCTGGTCTTGGTTTGCTGCCACATCGCTACATCGATTCCTTCCGATCGAATTAAAGAACCAATAAAAATAAAACTGCTGTCGATGGTCGGGAAAATCGTTTTTAATAGATGCTGGTACGTTGCATTCTCGGCAACGCTCCAATTCATGATTCCCTTCATTTATCACAACAATCGAGTCTTTCTCTACAAGCCGAGCAATTGTTTAGAGAAAAAAAAGAAACACTGAGAAAGAGAAGAGATATAATTACTAGTTACTACTATTCGAAATGAATCATGGTTACCATGGTTAAACTGTTACCATGGCGAATAAAGAATACTTTTTGATCGCCTTGGTTACCAAGAAACATAAACAACTCCATCTTCTTCTTTTCGTTATGTTTTTTGTTAAATCATTTGTGGATTTATCCCATTAGTACCTTTCAAAAACGCTGCACTTAATTCGACTTTCCCTTTCGCTCAATCTCCGCATCTGCATGTACATTTTATTCTCCTCTTTTTTTTATGTAACCATAATTTAAACCACTTGACGCATTACGAATTTGATTTACTTCATCCTACACAACAACAGAACAAGAAATAACACTTATGTAAATTGATATAATAATGGTTACTTTAATTTCATTCATTTCGCAGTATTTGCATTTTTTTTTAAACCGTAATTACGAGGATTTCACTTACTTGGTAGACCTATTAGGATTTTCTCGCTGCTTGATTTCAGGGAATTTCTTCTTACAGTTTCCTGTTCTTCGATCTAATCTGTTGTTACTTATTATATTCTACACACATATCTTCAACTACTTAAAACTACAAATTACGTAAAAAAGGTTTAAAGCAATTACGTAAAATTAACTAGTCAATTTGTCTTTTACGTTTTTCCATATATTCCAGTTTAATAATTAAACAACATATTCATAGAAACTAATGATTTTAATTAGAAAAGTGAATAGGAAAAAAGAATTAACTAGAAACAAACAAACTTTAATATTTACGATAACTTTAAACTGCAAACTTATATAAGAAAAGATACTGCGAAGAAACTAATGAATGTGATTAGAAAAAGCAATAAAAACGTAATTAGATTAAATACGATTTCCTTCGCGAGGCGTAATTTAATGCATTACATCTACTTTTAATACAGTATTTAATGGAATCCAAAAGTGATTGCGAATTTGCGGGGGGGCAATCAAAAAATTCCGCGACTTTACGCGTTTTCTTTTTCACTTGTAATTGGCTAGATCAATCATCGCGCCTTTCCATACGAATTATCCCCCGAGCGTAGTACGTGCGCTCGCATAGATATGTTTAGATGATTGATGAAAAGTTCTAAAACAATTAATCTTTAATAACCCAAAGAAAATTGAACGTTCATTTTCCAACAACGTAAAATCTTCCATCACGATCGCGACACAATAATTACAACTGTTATTAATTTTAATTTTTTTTCTTTTCGGGTACAAAATTACACGGTGAGATCGACGTGGTATGTTATTGGAAAACAATTTCCATGAATATTTCAAGATTACTTTCTTTCTACTCTATTTGCAGATGTATTAACACGATTAATCATGCAAGAACGCGTCCGTTTTTTTACGCCCGATTAGAAAATAATACACTTTCCTCAATTCAAGTACTTTTATACTCATAATGAGATTTCGTTAAACGCATTCTGAAGACGCCGTTCGGGATGTCTTCAGATTGTCGTGGGAATCCGCAATTATCTGGGTAATTGCAGGAAAACTTCTTTTTGCAAATTTTCACCTCTCGTACTTCGAAAGCAAATACTTGTAACATGTTAGGAACACGTAAATTTCCCAATAGTCGCGTTTCATTTCCACACAAAATCTCGATTCTGTGTTTGCGAAGAAAGCCGCGTACATCAATAACGAAAATTATCACTTATAATACGCTTTGAAAGTATATTATAGTTTTCACTCTAACTTCTTGTACAAATAACATTTGATTTAGGACAGTTTTATATAAATAATATCACAGGCACAATTTTGGATATTTGCTTATCACGATTAACAAGGAGATTTTTGTATAGTTTTAACTCATTAGTCACAATTAGTTTGCATAGGTCAGAGTAAATTCAATGAGTTCAAGTTATCAATGGTCTCATTCATTTAATAAATATATTTTATATATAATCAATAGTATTTAATCAGTAGTTTATTATTAACTTTTAGAACTATATAAAGAATGACCTATTAAATTTGTGAAACCTAGATCTAAATCGTTTATTTTATTTCTTATTAATATCTTAATCTTTTTAAAAATTAGTTAGTTTTAGAAATTGAAAATTGCTTGTAGTAAACGTTTCAGAGAAAACCATGCAACTAGATATTTAGATTACGTAATGTAGATGAGTGTTTTCGAAACAAAATTACCAAAACTATTATCAGCCAACTATTACCAAAAAAATGTATTTTTGAATATTTACAAACATAAACAGTCATGACATATTTGATGAAAAAAATGGATGGACGGATTTACATAAAATTTGGAAACCACTGGTATAAATTATAGTTATTTTTGTATTTTGCGATAAACTGTGTAAAATAACAATTTTCACATAACGATAAATGCACCGAATGTTATAAATTAACGATTAAATACGTTAGTCAGTGTTAGGATTATGACATAAGTATAAATATACAATGTAATCAAAGTTTAGGAATAAAATCATAGCCGTCGGGATATTTCATTGTGGCGCCAATTTTTTTCATTCTTTTTAGTGTAACATCGTTATTTCAGTTTGGCTCAGACAATTTTATGTCTGGCTGCTAACATCACTATGCGTATTTAGAGTAGTTGTATAAATATAGTTGTTGTTTTTTGTGGGAGACATCGATTATTAATAAGTCTTGTGATGGATGTTAATTGAATAATCATCTGTTGTATGTTGTTTCAATTACGGAAGCCTTTGTTCTATAATTCTATAAGTTTGTTGACACATTTATCCTTAGAAGTTTACCTGTAGAAGTCATTGTCTGTGACGATGTCCCTGATGCTGTCTTCTGGATCGACCCGATCGTAGACAGGAGGCCTCCGCCGTTGACTTCTGGGAACGGCGACGGCCTCCTGCTGCTGCTGCTGCTTGTCCAGGTAATCGGAGTCCGTGGGCGACATGCAGTTGGTGTCCAGAAGATTCTCGGAGTGTCCGTGATGGATTTCTGCAGCGATGGGGATGTCTTCGGGGGCTTGAAGCACTAACTCATCACTCTTGCTAGTCTTCAGGTCACTATAGTAATTGTCGCAGGACCGGCTGTTTCTGTATTGGTCCAAGTACGATCTGGGAAAGGTGTCTCCCCTAGATATGATAAGCTCAGTCATCTTCGCGCCACTTCACAGCATTATCCCTTCTGATGAATACAACGATAACAATATTTAAAAGAGGGTGGCAGTCCGGTCAGTTAAATTCCTTTGTGCAGCGGCGTAGCTTTAGCACCACATCACCAATCCTCTTCTCTAGGTTTTGAGAGCTTCGTTCGCGGTTTGCACCTACTTCTCGTTTCGGGCCTCGTACGTGTTCACTGCACGAACACCACGCTGATACTGATCATGTTGACCTACGTACAACGTGTTATCAATATTAATAGACATTACATCAACACACGACTACGAATTTTGACGTCTACCTCCTAGAGACACCGACGACCGAGAACCACTCTTCCTCTGCCCACCTCTCTCGCACTCGCACCGCCTCGATTCGACCTCACAACGGCCGTACTTCTGCGTACTTCTTCCAACTGTCTGCTATCTCGTGCACATCGCCTCCGCGCACTCACCAATTCACTAACCTATCTCCATTCGCACGGGATAGGTAGGTATACCCAGGTATACTTTTTTTTCACCTCTTTCTTCTTTTTTTGCTCTCCATTCTTTCGGACCAATTGCGCAACGCGCGTCTCTACTTCCTTGCGGAAAACGAAATTACTACTCTAATTGCTAATTAACGAGATTATTCATTATCATTAAAGCCGCTGTGTATTTAAATGCAAATCAACCTGATGGAACTTATGCATATTCTGCGTTCATTACCTGTCTGCAATTCCCGCATCATCCCATCGCTCATATTTCCACAATCCAATGCCATCATATTTCAACAGTGCAAAAGCCTTCAGGAATTGATATTTTAGAACCAAATGAAACTGTAAACGAAATACATAAATAATTGCAAATTGCAACAATTACTTACCTCAATAAATTGTTATTTTTCACACATTTTCAAACACCTCTTGACATCAAAAGATCATCAGCTATATGCAAACAAACTTACACAAACATACATCTATTCAAATTTGCAAATCAAAATAATTGTCTATAATTAATAAATAAAGTTATTCCTTTATTATAAACATAATTAAAACAAAAATTTAATTAATTAGTAGCAAAATTCGAACTTTTCCTATTGGAATTAGTTAACCAGTCGAGCGCTTATACAGTTGCATAAGCTGTGTTTTGGATGATTATGTAGACGTAACCTCAAAAAGATGGCAGCAACAATTTGGAAACTAGTTAATTTGAACACAAAACTGAATCCAAGCTTGGGTGGTTCTGTGAGGTACGGTCACCATCTTCGTGGTAAACCCCCAGGTGTAGCTCGATCCTTAGAACAGCGTCTCGAAGGTACCAAAACGTACAAAAAGTATTTAAATTTGAGGTTATATTTAAGTGTCTTATATGAATTCCAGAGCTCAATTTCAAAGACCCCGAGATACACTACAAAGTCAATATAGGATTCGCTAAGAAACAGCTTAAACGTAACGCAGTGTTATCAGAGAGGATTACAATTCTGAAGGATAATCACAGAAATCAAGATTTGGAGAAAAAAGCTAGAACTAATAAATGTAAGGTGTTCGCATTTTAGTTTTGGAAGAACAAACCGTTGATTTATTTTATGTTTTAGTGGAGATTGATTTGGATAATGTGAGGAAGGAATGGTTGAAAACTGCAGGTCCGGAACACATTAAAAGGATAGCCAATCATTATGGGATTTTTGATGATTTGTATGGTGATGCCTATTTCCACCCGACAGTTCCTTTACACATCAATTACGAAATTGGGGATGGTCAATTGCCAATTTACTATGGCAATGTTGTTAAACCGAGTGATGCCAAAGTTAAGCCAAAGATCAGCTTTGAAAGTGATGAGAACACCTTTTGGACTTTGATTATGACCAATCCTGATGGGCATTTGACCATGGAAAACAAGGAATACGTCCATTGGTTTGTGTGAGTTTTGTGATTAATTTAAAAAGAAAAACAATAGTTTACAATTATTGCGTTTTTAGAGGAAACATTCCAGGAAATAAAGTGGAGAGTGGAGAGACTATTGTTGATTACATGCAGCCAATCCCACCAAAAGGAAGCGGTTACCATAGGCATATATTCGTTTTGTATAAGCAAGAGAAAAAGTTGGATTTTGAACAATTGAAGAAGTCTGGACCTTGGTAATTTGATTTGCTTTGATTTGATGTTTTTAATGATTTATGTTGGGTTGCAGTTTAACGTTGTCGGAGAGGACGTTTTCCACTTTAGATTTTTATAGAGAGAGGCAAGACGATCTAACGCCTGCCGGTTTGGTGTTCTTCCAATCCGATTGGGATGCGACTCTAACAGATTTTTACCACGATGTTTTGAGTAGGATTTTTTTTTTTTTTGGTTGTTGATGGTTGTAAATTTGATGTTTGTTTTAGATATGAAGGAGCCAAGGTACGAGTATGATTTCCCAGAGACTTACGTGAAACCGCAGGAATGGTTTCCGCTTAGGCAGGCTTTCAATTTGTACATGGACCGGTACAGAGATCCGAAGCAAATCAACAAGGAGTTCTTGAAGAGGAAGCTGCAGAAGGTGCATCCGTTCAAGGCGCCAGAGAAACCGGTGCCGTATCCTAACGCCGTTCCATGGAACGGTTACGTTCCCAGCTGGTTGAAGCTGGAGAAGACGAAGTCGATGAACAAGTGGGGTAGAGTCAACGATATTGAATGATTTAGTAATAAAGTAATACAAGTATTTATTTAATAATTAATTAATTGCTCGCTTATAAATATGTGTATTGTACAAAAAAGAGAAGAAAAAAAAAGCAATCTCGGTTCTGAGATCAATTTTGTGGGTTTTGTTCGTAATCGTTTATTGTTATTTGACGATGCGCCTGAAGTACTCGATTCCGTACTTGATGAACCTGCTGTTCTTCCTGTCCTGTATTTTCGTAATTTTCATCTTCATCCTCTCGTCCAGACACGAGGCGCAGAATTCGCTGAGTATGATGTGCAACGGGCTCTGGTAGTAATGATCTCTGTTGGTCAACGATTTGTTCTTCTTGTGCGCCCAGATGTGAAGACTGATCTCGACTATTCCTAAGAAAATTGATACTATCGGGCTGAAGAAGACGAGCGTCGGAAGGAGGAACAGGACGGTCGGGCTGATCCGGTTGCGCGTTCTAGATTTGCTCATCATCTTGTCGAACTTCCTCGTCTCCTCCAACGTGTCCTGCCTTATGTACTCTGTCGGTATTTTGAACGGTCTCCGCGGTCCGACGCAGTTGATTTCGCACTCTCCGGTCTCCTGGTTCGTCTCGTGTTTTGCCGGACTCTCTCCCGTCTCTTTGTCGCAAAGCCTCTCGCCAGTTTCGCAATCCATCTGCAAAAACAAACAAAAAAAATAATACATAAAATAAATAAAGCGAATCCCAAAGTACGCGCGTCAAAGGTATATTAATATTTGATGGACCTTGAGAAATCCCGTCAATCGCATTATTTATTGAAGAACGTGGCGAAAATTATGCAACGAGAAATTGCCCATTTCCTACGTACGATTTTCTTTTTGCGTATGTGCGACAAACAATTCGAATTTGAATTGAGCCGTCTTCTGAAAGTTGAAAGGAATGCAATAAATTGTTAATATTTGCTAATATTCAGACGTCGACTGCATGTGAAACGTTATTTGAATACCAGCGTGCGTTTGTTTGGCAAGGTTGGAAAATAAAACCAGTTAATGGATGTTTGATTGTAGACAATTTTATTGGCGAATTTTCGTAATTGCATGAAATTAGCGAATACGTGGAAAATAATTAAGCGAGAAACTGAAACGGAGAACATCAATTAAATTTGCTCAAATAAAATCTGTTACGAATCTACTAGAAACGTCGAGTTGTTTCAATACTAATTATTAACATATATTAACATATTGGATATTAATATTACAAACTTGAGACATTTTTCTATAATATTCTACACAGAATCTCATGATCAACAATTGATATATTATAATTAAAAAAACGTCTGTATTTCTGTTGTGGCAATTTTCTTGATTCGCAGTAATGATAATAATGTCGTCTAAATTGCCACTTATTTCCACGTTTCTACTTCCAATTATATTATAATTGTTGAGATCTAATTATAAAAGAATCCAATCAGATTTAATTTCAAATAATAAGACACTAAACTTTGATTCTCTAAACTTAGAAAAACTAATTTGATTTTCATGAATATTCAAGTAGAAATGGAAATCAACGAATTATTTAAATTTCTTTTTGTGACTGAAACGTTTGAACACTGCGAATTGACGAACGCAAAGACTAAATAACTTAAGTAGAAATACGTTCAAGAAAAATAAGTATATTTGTTTTCGTAAATATGGTATGGTTAATGAATGCATAAGGTTATTTTAATCTCTTTGCTTGTTTTTGATTTTTTTTTGTGTGTGTGCAAATTGAATGAAAAGCCGTGAGCTAGAAACACGTCACTGCTTTTTCGCATTTACTCTAAAAATATGCACTCAACATATACATTCTTTAGTGAGAGCGAAATATAAATACCTCAAATTGGACTTCGTTCAATTCATTTTAACAGTACAAAAGGTTTTACATGATTAATTGATATACGTATTGTTACTTTTTCAATTATACAGTTACTTAAATCATTTTGAACTATCGAAATTGTATGTATTGATCACTCATCCAACAGTTTGTTACTTTTCCAATCATTGCAAGAAAAAACTATCGAAATTGTATGTTTTGGTCACTCGCTCATCAATTTGCACTCAAACATTAAGCATTTGAAACAAGATTGAGAATTCCACCTTTGATACCTGGATTCGAACAGCAAATCGTCGCTGGTAGCAACAAAATCTGCATTCTCTGACAGTTGCGTTTCGCTGTTATTGATTTTACCATCTAGTGACGATTCCTATGCAAATATGCTTTAATTAACGCAATTACTGGTGTTATTAAAAAAAAAAGTAAAAAAAGGGAGAGAGAAAAAACCAAATTACGAAACGGAGATTTCCATCATTTATTTATTTTTGTTGTTGTCTGATTTGATGAACGGAACTGAATAACGTTATCAGAAGGCGATTCCAATCTGAAATGGACGTTCCTTTCGAACGCATACATTGACAAAACGTGAACCCCGTTTGCCTCTTCCCCATTGTTCCAAGTAATTAATAGAATGCCGTATATGTTAATTAACTCCTGACACTCTTGACCCGATGTATGCTAATCCTGTTGTCTGGATTCGCTTCACCCGCAACTTCAACACGAGAACGGAAGTTGCGTTAAATGGTAACGTACCGTTTGCAACTAATCTGTATGCCCTTAAAATCCGTACAATCGGCCAAAAACACTAATCTACCGTCGACGATGGAGATAACGTCGATAATAAGTTCGAGGCCCTCGCATCATCCCATTCATCCTCCACTCTACACGCTTGTTATTTACATTTTTCTTTTGGTATTATTTATTATACCTTGTCCAGTAATTTTACTACAACTATAGTTGCGCAACATTACACTAAACAAACAAACAGATTGCGTGATTTATCTTAGAGGGCAATAAACGTGTTGTTGTTTAATCAAACTTCTTTACTTGCTTTAAATACCCTTCGAAAACCTTAAACAGATTTTTTCTTCGTTTTCTTTTTGTGCACAGAAACGCAGCTGCGTTTCATCAGTTTTAAGCAAAATCAATTTAGTTTATTTATAGAAATGTTGCTGCAGCGATAACATTAATTAGAGCATACTTACACTGCTTAATTTGTTGTTGTTTCACTCGATCGATCCTTTGCTTCTGCTGAACTGAATCAGTTCTACCCTTGTTTCGTTTCTCGTTTTTATTTTATCCTACCCAAACTAGAATATCTCTTTGTTTGATTCTTTATTTGTTGTTTCCTTTTTTTTGCTTCATTTACTTTTGCTCTCTGGATTGGCCACCGTCCAACTGCAGCGAAACGAACAAACCAACTGCCGAACGTAAATCGACGCACCTCCGCATCGTTTTATGTTTTTTTCTTTATTATTATTATTATTATTATCACCATCGTTAGTTATTATTTTCAATTTGTCTCCGTTCGTCAGCGCCACCTCCGCTCTTATCACAATCTCTCGTTCTCCCTACAAATAACAAACATTATGCAATCTTTATCGCTTGCTAATTTAGCTCGGACGCTAATTTAAAGTGCACTTTAACGACGCTTAGCTGCATTAAAACTTTAATGATTAATACGTATGATAATTAATGATCCTTAGCTGAAATTACAGTCGATTTAGACCAATTTCAGAGCATATTATTCAATTTTTTATATCTATTTATCGATTTTCTTAATGGTAGCAATTACAAAAAATTCGATTTTTAAAAAGGCGACAATTTTAGTGTACGTTTGGTTGCATACCAGTATATATTTAAAATTTTGTTAACATTAATATAAAATATTCAAATTTACGACTACGTATAATGCAAAAGTTAATATTTATTAACATATAATTCTTAATTATGAATCTTCATTGTTTTGTTTGAATTATTTTCTTAATAATAGAATTATTTTACATTCCGATGGATGGTTCTGATTGTAATTATTGAAACAGTAGATTACAGCCAAAAAATAAGACTAACTCAGTCTATCATTTACGATGTTTATTTATTTATAAAAATTAGTACGTTTATACAGAAATGGTATTTCAACAGCGCAGAAAGTACTGAACTACAATCTTTGCCATATTAAATGTAGATGGCGATAATTTCATACTGACTGTTTGCGCCTGAAGATCATGCAACCCAACATACGCCGACGCTTTTTAAATCATTCATAACTTTGTTTCTAATGACTCCATACATTAGAAGATACACTTAATTTATTTTGTAATTAATACCGCTCAATTTGGCTAAATTGCATTTACAATTAAAGCCCTAATTAGAATTTCTAAATGATAGGAGCACCAAAACAGCTGAACAACAATCTGCTTTTTGATAAACATCGAGTGTCTTCAAAAATTCATCAATTACTATAGAAGTCACAATTATGTATAAGTATGCAAATTACAGATAAATGTTTGGTATCATATTTGTAACTATTGCCGATTTCCTGTAATTTAAAGTCAATCTGGAGAAAAAGTTTTCCGCAAGTTTAGTTAAAAATATCTATCTTTAATTAGGGTAATTTAATAAAATGAAATGTATATGAATATCTATTTCTATAACTAATTAAGTAACAAAATGTGTAAATTATCTCATTTTTAAAATTTCACGTGTTGCGATGCGACAGATCGCGTTGAAGTCTGCATTGATGTGAGCCCGCCAATATTTGCATCTACCCCAGATAACAGCAGGATAATTCGGACTGAAAATGCCGAAGAAGATCCTGGCAATCGCCCTTCCAGTGAACGTATTATCTCTGTACATGGAAACCATTGCCCTAACATCAGCTGCTATCAAATCCTCGTTACACGTTTTCTCCTTCAGTTCTATAACCGAGAGCGGCTTAGGATTATCGAAATAATCTCTGATGCACGGTTTCAATTTGCTCTCCTTCTCGGATATCTCTTCAGCGATGCACGCGCGGTACGAGGGCGCAGCCACCATTGTTACAGTCTCGTGAAGAGCGTGCAGCTGAAGAAGCGCAGTTCTCTCTTGATTGCAGACGCGTTGGTAAAGCGCATCCAGAGCTTCATCCAATTGAGTATCCGTCAAGTTACCAGGAGCTAACAGTCTGAAGCCCAAATTCGTGAAACGCACGGTAAGCAAGGACCGCCTCGGTTGGTTGTTCACAGTCACCCATTCGAGATTCTTCAGTTTATGCTTGCAGATGCCACTGTCCCAGCCCATAGCAGCAGCTACATCGACTATTGGAAACTCGAAAGTCGATTCGTTCTCTCTATCTTTGTCTCCGAACATCGCTAAAGCCATAGCGAGCGGTGGGCAATCTTTGGCCGCTTTCCTCATGTAGTTTCCGCCGCCGCCATAAGAAATCACTTTGCAAGTTGTGTAAGCTGAACTCAGTACTTCGATGTAACGGTCTTCGTGAAGCTCCAGATAACAGAGTAAGGTCGAGATGTTCTCCTCGGGCAAGTCCAAAGCTAGAACGGTGTCGTTCACCGAGAAGGCCACTTCATGCTTTGGACAAGCAGCTTTGCAAGAACACGGTATAAAGATCTTCTGCAGAAGTTTCCTGATGACGTGACGATCAATGGAATCCGAAAAGACGTGTCGTTGAAGCTCGTTCTCGTCTTTACCCTGCACAAAACGCAATTACAATCAACGTTTCTATTGAATATTAATTATAATTACCAAACTGTCGAGGAATAAATGGCAATGCGCCGGTAATCCATCTCTTCCGGCTCTTCCAACCTCTTGCACGTAGCTCTCGAAATTCTTGGGCAAATTATAATGTATCACAGCTCTAATATCAGATTTATTAATGCCCATGCCGAAAGCGACCGTCGCGACAACGATTCGCAAATCACCGCTCATAAATCTATTTTGAACGGTTCTTCTGCGACTTGCAGCTAATCCTGCGTGATAGGGCTCCGCTTGAAGATTGACCTTTTTCCTTTTCTTGGTGTTCTCCTCGATGGGTTTCTCCTCCTTCAGACTGGTTCTCAGGAAAGCGGCGATCCTTTCGCACTCTTGTCGCCGCGTGCAATAAACTATAACGCTTCGCAGTTTCGCGAAACGTTCTGAAAGCAATAAACCAAGAAGAGCGTGATCGCGGTTCCCGTCTTTGGAAACTGTTAATCTCAAGTTGTTTGGTAAGGGTATATCGCTGATGATTCCAAGACGTCCATCTGGTATGGAAAGATGACTTATTATGCTGTCGCTTGTTGCTCTGGTCGCGGTGGCGGTCAATCCAAGGATTGTTGTTATTCCTAATCTCTCCTTCAAAATGCGACAGATCATCAAATACGATGGACGGAAATTGTGAGACCATTGCGAGACGCAATGAGCTTCATCTATACATGCGAATGCCACAGGTGGTAGTTTTCTCAATAACGATCCAAATCCTATAACGACAATTCCAATTAAAAATCTTCAATTATTCTAATCAATTTTTCATCTTTACCGTTGGATTTTTCGCCTGCGACTACTGCCTCGGGCGAGACCAAAAGAACGTCCAAACTGCCGGTTTTTATGGCCTCGAGGATTTTCTCCCTTTGTATTTTAGTTTTGTTCGTATGCAGACAAGCAGCTCTTAAGAATGCCGGAATTCCAGTTACTTGATCTTCCATAAGGGAAACCAACGGAGAGATGATCAATGATATACATGGTTCGCGTTTTGCGTAAAGATATGCTGGTAACTGATAGCAGAAACTTTTTCCTGAGCCAGTGCTCAAAGTAACCAAAGTCGATTGGCCTGAAAGTATTCGCATTACGGCCTTTTCTTGGCCCGGACGGAACGATGAGTGGCCGAACATCTTCAAAACATCGAAAACTTCTTGCGGTGTATCTGCAAATAAAATAGTTGAAACATAAAAGATCATCAGCAAGAATTATATTAAATTTACCTATAATGGTGCCATCATTTTTGAGATTGTAATAAGGTTTAATTATCCTCGATTCATCTACGTACTGCTGCACGTCGATCTTCTTCACGTATTCCTCCAGCTTCATCGTTTCACATAATAACAGTTCATCTTCGCCATCATCGCCGAATACATCCTCCTTCTCTTCATCATCATCATCATCCTCTTCACTATCATCATCGTCATCGCTGCTATCTTCTTCATTATCTGCTTCACCTTCACCATCCACTTTTCTAAGAGGTCTCCTCACTGCCAAACTACTATCTTGAGCCATCTCCGATGCTTCCTCCAAAGTCGGATAAGGACAATATTCAATTTCTGCAGCGCTCATCGGCAATAAAGCATCGCCCTTTGTGGCTTTACAGTTTTGCGCAAAGTGTCCGACTTGTCCGCAAGTGAAACAGGTCAACTGACCTCCATCGCATCCACCCATGTCCATGTCCGGACCAGCCAGAGTCGTATTTTTCTTATGCTGCTTCCACATTTTCTTCTTGTACTTGCTGAAATTCATGGTCTTTTTACCACGAGCATACACCTTCTTTTTCATATTAATTTGCACGTAATTGTCGTTAAGCGTTCCAGATTCGATGCGCTTTTGGAACTTCTCGATCTTTTGCTGATTCTTGTCTTTGACGATAGCTCCAGTCTCCTCGTCCTTCAGCTCCACAATCTCTTTCTTAGGTTTAGCTTTAGCGGACTTCTTAATAATGTTTTTGAGATTAGTATCTCTGGGAACGGTTACTATCCTCGGTTTTATCGAATACTCCAATTCATACGTATCGTTCTCTTCTTCCTGTTCCGCTTCTTCTGCTGCCTTTTCCTCGACCTTTTTAGCCTTTCCTCTAGCAGCTCTCTCCTTTTTAACTTTAGGAGACTTTTCTTTTTTAACTTTCGTCTCTTTTGTCTTTTTCACCTTACCACTAGTTTCTTCCTCTTCGTCCTCCTCGTCGAAATTATAAATCACATCCTTATCAACTTTGGGAATATACTCGGGATCTTTATCCTCGTCGTTTTGGAAAGGCGAATCGTCGACTTCCTTTATTTCATTTAAAACTTTTCGTTGCCGCACAGACTTTCTTTGAGTTTCAGGTAATTTCAGTACAGGTTTCTGCTGCTTATACACCTCCTCCTCAGGCTCATCCACATCCATCACATCAATATCACATTTATTTGCATCCACAATTACCGGTGCAGCAATTTGTTTTATTTCCTGCACAACAGGTTTAATTTGTGGTACAACAGCTTTAGGTTCAATAACGGGAGGTCTACTAACAGGTACAGAAGTATTCTCGTCAATTTTTCGTCTCTTCGCGATGTGCAATTGAGCGTTGTCGTCGTCGTCAGAGTCTGCGATGATATCTTCACTATCGTAATCACTGCCATCGTCATTTTTCGAATTCAAATGTTGACTCAATCCGAAATTGTTCACATTCATACTTTTGTTAGTTAACTTTGTACCGGTACTCTGCGCCAAACGCTTCATCCATCCAGGATCGATTTGTCTCTCACTCCTGAAGTTCTCGTTCAAAACGCTCTTAACAGCGCTCAAATTCCTTGTCATCACAGGCTCCACAACAGTTGTTATTTTAATTCTATCACTGTTCAATATATTGATTACTTGATCAGACTCGAATGAATCAACTGCATTATCATTGCCACTTTCATGCAATTGAGGCATTGGCTGAGAAAGTGTTTTGTTAGAAGCATTCAAACTATTATCACTTTTCCTATGTGAAAAAGACAGAGATTTCCTTGGATTCCGTTTAGAAAAAACAGAATTTTTAAACAATTTCTGAGTAATGCTGCTGTTAACTTTCATTTTTTCCTTCTTCTCCTCAGCCTTTGCCACAATATTAACATTATTTAGATGATCACCCCAGGTATTATCTGTGTTTGTATTTTTCACATCTTCAACATCTACAGAAGAATTCTCTGAAATATCAATGGGCATTGCAATGGATTCATTGACGCTGACTTGTGATAGAGTGCTGAGATCTGCAGATGAAACTTCAGCACTCTCTTCATCCGAATTAAATCCATCTATGTCTTGGAAACTTTGCTCCAAAGCAGCAGATTTCAAGTTAAAGTAAGTTTTATACGCTTGACGCGTTTCCCTGTCTGCTTCACGAATATCCAACTGTAAAATATGAGTTAATATTGTGTTGTTATAGATTATATACAATACCTTCGATGGTAATCTTCCATGCTTCTTTTTGAAATGATGTTCCCAATATTTCACTTTGTATTTGCACTTGTTGTACGTATTTTTAACCGCTGAATCTTGCAGCAGCTCCATTTCACCAAGTAGACACTTTTTTCATACAGAATGTGATCAGCGAAAATTTCATCAAAATAAACGTGCCACAACAGCTGATATTTTCGCGCCAACAACTGACAGTTAAACGATCATTAGAACTACTTTCATTACATAAAGATCCGACAACACTGTCTCGTTAGGTTATAGTATTGCTCTCGATCAAAAATCTATTAATGATGTATCAGTCTATGAAATGTAAAAAGTGCAGAACTGTTATATTCGATGAAGAACAATGCAAAAGTATATTTGTAAATTCGCACAATGGAGATTACGAAGAGGACATAAGTGATTTGGATTGTCAGGTCGAGGAGACTTTGGTGTTCTTGAACGAAGATAAATTACCGGATTGGATCAAGTCAGAAGTGGAGGCTGTGCAATGGTCCAAAGGCAAATTGAACTGCAAGTCTTGCAACAATCGTTTAGGCGCATTCGATTTCGTTTCAGGTCCGAAATGCGGATGCAACGAATTTATATTACCGTCTGTACACATGATCAAAAGCAAAATTGATTTAATAAAGAAGCATTTGAAGTAAAAGTTGTTGTTATTTACTAAAACCACGTGTTTTCAATTTTGAACTACTTCTGACGTCCCTGTCAAAACAGCTGATAGGATTCAGTAGGATTAGTTCTAAACAACCATTGAAAATGGTAAATATTGTTGAAGATTCTCTGCGATTTATTATTATAACTGATATTATTGTTATTTTAGAAGTACAGATTTTGCGGAGGCGCCGACTGCCCTGATTGGGTATTAGCGGAAATAAACTCTCTATCCAAATTGTCTTCAATTAAATTAAAACTTTTGGTACAGGTAATTGCCAAAGGTATAATCAACCCTCCTATTGATGTAAGTACTTGTTTAATCTTTAATTTACAATTTAATAATGCGACTTAATTTTAGATGGAAAAAGCTGAGAAACTATTCGCCGATTCTAAATTAGGTAAATTAATCAATGTTTTCTTAGATCACATTAATCATTGTAATTATTTTAGATCAAACTGTAGATCTGAAAGCTTGTATTGCTTGTGTTAATTATATTTTGATATCTGCCGTGAAATACAATAGCAATCATAATATCTTGAAAGCTGAGCTTCAAATGCTGGGCTTACCAGCAGAACATGGAGCATCTTTTAAAAAGGTCATGGATGAGCAAAGCAAAGAAATGTTGTCGGTTTTAAAATCAAAAACTCTGAAAGGTATTTATTTCTCATCAGTGATATTTAACTTGTGTAACTTATCTTCTGTTTTTTGTTATTAGTAAATGCTTTGGAAGGATTCTCGTCTTCGGTTGATGTGGAATCGAATTGCGTGAATTTAGAGTTAAAGATAAACGATGAGACTCGGAATGTGATCATGACACCTTACACCTTGAACGTGTTATTGGAAAACTTGAAATCTGTGAGGAATAACATGCAAGAGATGAATAACAATCCGTTCACTTACGATGTGGGAATATTTAGAACGAGCAATTCTTAAGAAACAAATAAATACTTTTATTTCGTTTATATTATTTGTAAAAGATACAAAATTATTATTATATATTTATAGTTTTTTTTTTATTTCTTGTAAAATATACTGCATTTATTAATGTCCATCACCTTATTGAATTAATATCTATATTGGATATTGCTTTACTGATGAATACATTATATAATTTTTTTTTTATCACTGTCCATAGAATAAAAAAAACTTGATTAAAAACAACAGACATATGTACGTTTTCTGCATGCAACCTCAATTTTATAAGTGAAGAGAAAGTGGGTGCTGCATGCATGCACACTTTACTTGTTTTAGCCTATATAAATAAAAGTTGTTAAGTTAATATTTAAAAATATAAATTAAAATATCCTAAATGAGCAATGATATGTAAAAGTATATAAATATAAAAAAAAAATGACTATAAGAGAAGAAGATAACAGAAATCTGATTTATATTATGCATATTGTGAGCATGTAAATATACTTTGATATACTTTTTTTTTTATTTATTGCTGCTTGCAACCATCCTTAGCCTTCCTCTTGCTCTTCTTCTCTAAGGAGGCTGTTCTTCTTTGGCCTTGGATTGGCATGTATGGTGGCACTGGACTATGGTCATCTTCTGTTAAATCAGGAGTTGGAAGCACCAGACCAGAACTGCTGCTGGAAGTGCTTGTGGTCACAGTACTGGATGTTGTATCATAACTTGGAGGAGATTGCATTGTTCTTCTAGGATATGTTGGATCTATTGCCATAGCAATATTCATATGTTGTTTACTTGGGGACGGACTTTGTTCTGCGCTCTCTCTTGGCATATCATCGATCACTGGATCAGGGAATCTGGGCTTGTAGACTTTTTGTGTCAATGGTGACCTGAATAGAATTAATAATAAAAATTAGTACTCAATATAAGATTTAACAATATGCGAAATTACCTTAAATCAAGTTGTGTAGGTCTGACTGGTGGTGGAATATTATCACTGAGGTCTGTAATCTCACACAAACTGCTTGGGCCCCCATTGATCCTGTCATATCTACCTTCACTCTGCTTCACTGGAGAGTACTGTTTCGGATTAGTGTCATATCTTGCTGGAAGCACATCTACTGGGAAACAATAGTTTGTGTCATCTTCAGTGACCAATTGCATGTTTTTCTGTGGAATGCTGTGCAATACGGTGCGCTGCGGTAACAAGTCTATGGGATTAGAGTATGAGTCATCTGGGAGTATCTGATTCATGTTTTGCTGTTCTTGCTCAAGTAGTTGCTGTTTCTTTGCAATTGCCCTTTGCTTGGCCTTCTCCTTGGCACGTTTAGCTTTAGCCCTTTCTCTTTCCTGCAACAACTTGGCAAGCTCTTTGTCTTGGGCCTCCATTGCCAGTCTTCTATCTCTATTTATTATGGACTCCTCAGAATTACTCAATTGCTCCTGCAGTTGCCTTGCCAATTCTGCATCCCTTTCCTCCTGTGTTTTTCTGTCCACCTCTTCATCCTGGATATCAATCCTGTCAAAATCTTCAGTCAATTTCTCTGCACGATATGGTTCAGTGTATAGATCTTGGTAGTCTTGTGGAATGGGCATCTGGGGAGCTTGTCTCCTTGGAAGATTAGCAAAGTAATTTGTGGCATCTGGACGATGGGGTGAATGGTGTATGTCATTTAATGGTAGAGTTGTGGGCTTTTGTGGGGACGAGTGCTTCTTATATTTATCCTTCTCAATTATCTGCCTGGCCAGATCTTCATCTCTCCTCTCCAACAATCTTCTCTTGATCTGCTCCTCTCTCTCAATCTTATCTGCCAAATCTTTAGCTATCTGCTTGTCCACTTCCTCTTGTTCTTGCAACATCTTTTGGTACACTGCTGCTGCCTGCTCTGCCAGATGCTGCTCCCTCATCTGCTGATCCATGGCGCAAGGAAAATCCTCCCTCACCTGTGCATTACGATGCTTGTTACCCGAGTAATGCTGGTTTATCTCTTGCGACTGCAACTGGTATGCAAAAGCACCATCTTCTCTCACCAACCATTCCCTGCACATCTCATTCACTTTCCCTGACTTTGGAAGGGAATCCAACCTTTCCACTGGGCTCAAGTCTGCAAACTGCTGATACTGCAGACCTCTTTCACCCCTGGTACCATTCTTCTGATCAGACTTCCTGGCCTCCATTTTCCTCTTTCTGATTCTCAGTTGTAGATGTTGTAGACTTTCCCCGAGTTGAATGAACACCGCACCATCCTTGTGTTTTCACTCAAATTGCACCAAAAACAACACAACGGGGGGAAAAAAGGGGTCACCGATCTGAACGCGCTGAAGTTGTGCACACAAATAATGATTCTACATGCAGAATATTTTGTCCTACCCCACCACAGATGGACGGCGCGCAATCCTGTTCCTCCTCGTCTTCCGCCAACCAACGCGACGGAACGAAAAAAGAATGGTAAGAATTCCGCAATCCTATGTTATGATTCCTACCCAGTTTGTAATTTCAAAAGTTGATTCATTCTAAAAGCAGCAAACTTTCATTAAACGTTCAGGATAAGATTTAAAAAAAAAAGAAATTTACTTACATTTAACAAAGACAATTTATCTACCTACTCTCATTGTAATTATCTAATTAAATTATAGCATTGACTCTGCACTTGTACAATATCTAAATGCTTTCTATGAGCTCATTTCAACTAACATTGAAACTCGGAATCTTGCTTGCATGAGTAATGCCTAAGTTATCTCAAACACCAAGTGCATATATGCAAATGAGCAATACGTGTAACAGCATAACAAAGAAACATTTCCGAGTAATCAGTTTCGATTAGTTCACTGAACGAATTCTGCGATCATTTCGAAAGTACAAATATTTGCGTAGGACACAGATGTTCCTCCAAACTTTATGACCTAATATTTTCAAACTGGTTTACGCGCACATGTTCATCTTTCTCCAAAACCAATAAACCAATTTTTACAATCTAAATATGCAAATCGAAGAAGAAACTGTTATTATTATTATTATATTTTGGTTCATTGACTTAAAAGTTATTTTATATAAATATTGTGGCTAGTAAAAGGCAAGTCAACAAACTTTAATTATGTTATTAGTTATGATTTAAGAATTAAGCAAAGATTAGGTATGTGTGAAATGTATTTATGATAGGATTTAGGGTTTATATATATGTAATAATGATTGATTATAAAATACTACTGTTTATTACTAGATAAGCGGTATTAATAAACTCTTATAAACAATAAATTATATTGAAAGAACACAATCATAACAACAAATATACAAATATATTATAATAATATATTCTTTCAGTTTATATTCTTCCAGAGATATAAATAAGAAATAAGAAAGGAAATGCAACCGATCAGTGTTTTTGCACTGAAAGGCTCAGGAATCGACCACAACCTCAATAAACGTAACACAGTAATAAATGCATTTCTTATACGGTTATTAAAAACATAAATAATAATAATTAACAGCATCATCGACCGAATAAGAATCATCTTAATGGTGGAATTACAGCTGCGACAGGATGAGGTCACATTCGGGCATTCCGGCCCGCAGCGACTGCAAGAATTTAATGTGCATGTTCGTATCCAGGTAGGTCTTCTTCACGGAATTATCCTCGATCATCGCGTTCTTCCATTCCATCTGAAAGCAGTTTGTAGAATAATTATTTGCACTCTGTTTGCCCAAAAATCATTTTGCCACCTACCAACTTCTTGTACTTGTCCTTCCTCAGGCTCAGTCTCGTGTTGAAGAGTTTCAGAAGTTCCGCCCTCTCGACCCACGGCCAAATTACGTAATCCAGCATTCCGGGTTTGTGGCCTCCGAAGAAATTACCTCTTCTGCCCAGCTCGTACTCGAAGATGTCCAGACCTTCGCGGATGTTGTTCTCTTGATCGTCGAGCGTTCTGCCAGTGGACAGCAGCACTTTGTTCATCGACGTAACAATCTGCAACAGTTAAGTTAAGAAACTTCTCATACAATCTTCAAGCTAATAACAACAACAATACCTTATTGAATCTATCAATCAGCAGGCTGTCTTTGGCTTTCTGCAGAGGATCTTTCGGATGCAGAGCGTTCTGATGGTACTTCTCATCCAGATAATTGGCGATGATCAGACTCTCGTAGATGACATCGCCGTTTTCCAACTCCAAAGCGGGAACCTTGCCCATCGGGCTTATCTTCGTGTACCATTCCGGTTTGCTGACTAGATTTATGTACACAGTTTCATATCTGCAAGAAGACAAACACCACAAAATAGGTAATTACATTTTATACACTCTAATATGTACGATTCGCGAATTTCGATTTAATTTTAGATACATTTTTCGCGTATTAAAAATAATCGACTGATCTAAAAATATATTGCATTCCAAAATTCGCAACCAGAAATAAACCATTACATTCTTCTGAATGAATCCGTAACAAGCATCGCGCATTTTATAAATATTTTACTGTTCCCAAATTAGCCGATCCTCTTAACATCATAAAATAGAAACTCTTGCAACTCAACTTCAAAGCTATTACACCTTTATCTAAACAGGTGTAAAACATCACCTTCCAAGAACGATAATTAAGGGCGATTATCTTAAGCACTTGATAATGCGAGGCGTCAAAAATAAAGTTTCCTTAATCCCTCTTCTCACGCCATTAAACTAAACTACTTAGCATGAGATTAAATCTATTTTCACAGTTAGAAAGTAAATTTGAAGCCTGTCCCAAAATAGCGCAAAGCTATTTATCGGGCGTTTTTATGTAAGGTTCCATGGTGTAATGGTTAGCACTCTGGACTTTGAATCCAGCGATCCGAGTTCAAATCTCGGTGGAACCTGAGTACAAATTTTTTAATTATTCTCTTAAAACATTGATGATTTTAGAAAAAAAATTACATTCGCAAATGCTTTAAATTTATTGTAATATTTATTTGAAATTGTTGCTGTTAATTTAATTACGTTTCTTTTCTTTAATATTATTACATCAAATAATTTTAGTGTATTTGAGGAACTGATGAGTTTACGTAATATTTTGTAGTGTATTGATTTTCACCGATGTTCGGTCGAGCTGCGTAGGACTTTTAGACGTTACTTATATAACGGTCCCATGGTGTAATGGTTAGCACTCTGGACTCTGAATCCAGCGATCCGAGTTCAAATCTCGGTGGGACCTATCTGTTTTACTATCAATTAAGACAATAATTATAATTTTGTTGCAACAAAATGTTACAATTTTTTAATTAACTTTTAAGTTGCAGCCAAACATTATTATTAAAACACATATTAAATAAATTTAATATATAGGATTTCAAGTTCTAAGATTTACAAATTATCTAATTATTTTCTAAGTTTGAAAGAAATTGTATTACAATTACATGATTTTAAGATGTAGTCGTGAAATATTACAATCTTTCATTGTTTTATAACGATTTATAAAAAGCCTTGAAACAAAAACAAGGAAGTACAGATGACTGGATTTCTGTGTACTATATTTAGAAGTATTGTTTAATTATCAAGGCTGTGAATTAATTAGAAAGGTTCTCTTTTTCAGTGAAATTAAAGAGTTTACAAACAAACAAAAAAGTAATTGCCGAAACCAGGGATCGAACCAGGGACCTTTAGATCTTCAGTCTAACGCTCTCCCAACTGAGCTATTTCGGCGCTTGCAGATGTTTTTTTACGAAACAGCGGACAATATAAAAGGTGGGTACTCACTGTAACTTTTTAGCATCCAAAACGAGATGAACCCTCTGGGCGTACGGACAGAATCTGTTGCTGTACAGTCGCAACTTTCCCTTGAAGGCAGCGGGATTCTTGGATCCTGAGAACCGAAAGAAAACGCAACGTGTGAGGAAAAATGACCAGGGAGTAGAAAAATCAATAATATGGTAGTAATAATGGGTGTGTGTTGAGGTCATCGTTTTCTCATATTCGAATTAGAATATGTAATAACGAAAATAGCTATGACTAAGTGCGAACGCATAATCGCGACGAATGCAATTTCAAAACATTAAACTTGTGTATGCACGATGTGGTAATTCGCAGCGCTGACATCATCGGACTCTTGTTTGATGACTACACGTTTAACCTAGTTAGGATTGCAGCAAACGTACAGTTTCCACCCACATAGAAATTATACCTTTGGACAGATGTTTGGTGCTCATGGTTGGCGATTTAATCCCAGATGGGTTTTAATTTTTCTCGATGATGCAGCTGCTTGAGAGAGTGTAGTGAAAAGTCTGATGTTTGATGATGATGATGTTATGACTATGTGGAGAGACGCGACCGCTCACGAACGCGAAATTCAAAATACTGAACGACCGCACAGCTGATTTCCTTCAACAAGCGGTGGTTCCTTCACCACTACCACCTCGAATGCACACTATAGCAACCGGCGCCGGTGCTGCCAGTCATCACAAACATGCAGATTTCTTAAGGGTCTTCCACCCTTGGATACAATTGATAACAGGTCCTGTGGCGCAACGGATAACGCGTCTGACTACGGATCAGAAGATTCCAGGTTCGAATCCTGGCAGGATCGACAATTCTTTTATTTAAACATCTTATATAATCACCAAAAAAGAATTATTTTGCTCAGAAAACTAAAATACATCATACTTAAGACAAGATTGATTGATTGTTTGACTTTTCGTAGCTTCAAGTGGTAACAGACATTCTCAGCTTCATTTAATTGGACCTAAATGTTATCATAACATCACATATGGTTTAAGATTATAATACATAATAATAAATTGGTACCGATAAGCATCAATTAGAGATAAAACAAGCATATTAATACTAACTTAAGTCATTTTAAAAATTATTCAATAATGACAATTTGCCATAGCAACAAGTCAAGAATCATACAAAACGGGTTATTTAAATCTATTTCCATTGAGTTTATTTACTTTTTTAAATATTTACTTAAGTTTGTTTATATTTCCTTTTATATACGCTCGTAGTTGTGTACATTCCTTTTTAAATCCATTGAAACAATAAATATTTACGTCTGGCAAAAAACAAAACAAATCTATACAAATTGTCATTTACAAAGCACACTTTAAATTTATTTCATTATTCCCTGCTTATTATAAATATGTCGATTAAGCGGAATTTGAAGACATCTAAAGAAGCAACGCATTCTTTTATTTATTAAAAAAAATCTAAATTATTAAATGTTCATATTAGATTTCTATGAAATAAAAAAAAAAATATGAATAATTAAATATTTGATGATGTTTTTTGAATTTTATAACTTCTTTTTCGGATATTCAAATGAGATTTAACATGAAATTAAATGAGGACGATTAATTTTATTATTATTTTTTTTTAGTATCAATGTTTATTTTTGTAAATTACATAGTGAGAAATCGATCGAAGGAACCGGATCAGAAAACTGTACGAATATACACAAATATATAGTGGAATTGGCACAAGGACGATTCTCTTCGCGTGCACTGGAAATAATAGCTAAAAATAGAGATTCCACTCGAAAACTGCTTAATAAAAATGCGCACTGCTCGTCACTTATAGTTTAATTAAATTAATTTGTTTATTCAAGTCCAGTTCAATAAACCTACTACTTGTTTTTTCTCTTATAATTGCATTTGCGTTAAGTCATTATTGTTACAAACATATTTACTATGATCGATCAGCGTTTCTAAATCTTTTTAACCCAATTGATTACAGTTTTGACATAAGATGACAGCTGTCATTTTGCGACTGGTTAAAAGAGATGTAAAGACTATTGGTTACGTAATAAGGTGTTAGGAATTAAAACTTATAACAAGAGCAGAGTGGCGCAGTGGAAGCGTGCTGGGCCCATAACCCAGAGGTCCGTGGATCGAAACCATGCTCTGCTAGGATTATCCTTTTTGCCACCTCAATTATCAAAGTTATACTCACTAAATCTTATAATCTACTGTTGTTATTGTTATTATTGTTAATAATAATTAAATTAATGCATGCACTTAACATATTAACTATATATTTTAAAAGTTCACTTTAATTAACTCACCATTATAATTATGAATCTTAGTTTTCGTGTGCATCCGTTAATGTTGTTCTTTGTGAACTGGAGTTGCTCCAGAGCGAAACTAACGATGAATATCGTCCATATGCGTTGTCCATTTTCTCTTCTCTGGTAGTTAATTACGTTCAAGGCAGAATAATTTCAATGCATTCACTCGAGAAATGCGACACACGGATTATAATGTGGAACGCTCTTGGAATGCCGACGACCCTAGCGGTTTCGAAATTATCGTTACATAAATGAAAGTATAACACTTTTACACTCGAGTTCCATATGATATACACACAGTTCTTTGTTCTTTCAGCAGATGTTTGTAAACGTATAGTTTATTATTGAATGAGAGATTTATTTGAAAAGCGATTTCATGTAAGTACGTGTGATATTTACTAAACATAGTATTTTGTGATGATGATAATGTGTTCAATTTAGATTAGATATTAAGAACAAATAAACATTGAAAAGTTGTATATTTACAAAGTAAAAATATACAGCTTTATTAGTTCGTTATTTAAAAAAAATAAACTTTTAATAAAATGTTTATTTCATAATTAATTAAACTTGTAAACATAATGAATATTTCATTAATTTAGTATTCGTTTTATTTTAGTACATTGCAACATAATTCTTTACTGATTTGTAGTTTTCTACGATCTGTTGATGATGCTATTAAGGGTAGGAAAAAAAAATAAGGGTTGTTCTGTTATATAATCTAGTGTTCTGTAGTATACTTGCGCCATCTGTGATTGACATCAAACAATGCATTTCGAACTTTCTGTTCTCATCACATAGTCGGCTCTGCTGTATAGTTTTATTTGTTATTTAATAGTGACATAAAACATTTGAATGTTTTGTATGCGGATTTATGAAAATAGAAGAAAAATTATATTTTTTAAGATAAATATTATCTGTTGAACAAAAATCGTTTGTAAAAATTGTTCGTAAATTGAATTTTCTTAAACCCTCTTTTTACGTAATTAATGTAGAAACAAATATAACAAATAATAGTAAAAACAACATGAGTAAAGTTGAAATATAGACTGAAATTTAACATATAATAACAAATTTTAATAGTAAACGTAAAATCTCTTGTTAATATTATCATTTTCAATATTTATTCATATATATATTATTTCTTGCAATTTTCAAAATAATTCATTGGAATAAGGAAATTTACGTATAAAATACACTTCACTTTATAATTTATCACTATTGTAACGAATTACAATTCAAAATAGTTTGATTTTTGATAAATTACATTTGTTTGTGAGCGAAAACAAAAATATAAATACATTAAAAGAAATTGATGAAAATGAAGAATTATATAAATATTTTTATGTTTGAGTAAAAAGAAACTTTAAAGTTTGTTGAAATATTGTTCAAAATGGAATTGTTAATTAATTTGTTGTAAATAATTGTAATAATTGGTAAAATTTATAAAATATTCTTAAAGTTTGAGATTATATAAAGGTATCGTGTTCAAGGCATTTAATTAACCATTAGGTAGTTATCAGTAATTACGATTGAAAAAGTTGGTGCAAGCTTTGGACAAATAACTTCTTTTTTTCTTCGTTTTTCGCGAGAGGTTTTTTTGCGGTCACGCGACTTTTCTTTGTAAAAAGGGGAGAGATTTCAGAGTAAAATGTTTTGTCAGAGGGAAGGGACATATTATTTCGTATCGGATCAATGAATTAAAGGCAATGAATAAGTTTCTGGTCAAGCGAAGGAAGGAGAGAATATGGGGGAAAGGAAGAGAAAAAAAAATTTTGGGAGCAAACATTAATATTTCCAATCGGTCAATATTAACGGTAAACATTTGCAGTGGACGCCAAAAAATCACCCACCCCCATCCTCTGTTTGACTTCACTCAACACTGCGAAGGGAAGAAGAAAAATTGCACGAAGGGATAACAAAAAAAATGAGAGAGAGAGAAGAGTGGAGGATTTAGCGTTGGTTAACTGGCTCGTTAATTAAGCGTTGGATTTGGAGGTGAAGATAAGAGTTGGAAGAAGTTGAGGATTGAGAACGTGAAAAGAGTGCACTGAATGTGTCGTAATTGCGCTTACTTGAGTAATTAAGAATATGGAGTGGCATGTGGCGGAATCCGGGATTGCATTTCCGGCCATGTTCCGGATAGATTCCCACCCGGATTGGCCGAGCAGCTCATCGATCTTCAATGGTGGGCCAATGATGGGACCCCGGGTCTCGTCACCTAGCAACCTCTCACCTGTAATTAACACCACTCGCGGCGTAATTCGCTCCTTCTCTCTTTTCGCATTAAGTTCTTCCTTTTTCTCACTCACTCTCTCTCTCACTTTTTTTCACCCCCTTCAGCTCGAATTTATCTTTCGGTTTCCGCACCCCCTTTCACCGTTCCATCCATCCCCCCGATAAGGTCGGCGTTTATTTAAAACCGCTTTCAACGCAATTGCGATCGCGAAACTCATACTCAACCTGCAAAATAAAGAAACACAATCACCTATGAGCAAAGCGTTAAAGATTGACAGTAACAGTAAAGTTCGTCCTTCGAGCGAAAGATTCTCATCGGATTTATGTAACAGTTCAATTTCCAGTCCCGGTTTTATTGCTCGGAAAGTCGCGCGCTCCCTCGACCGTGGTTTTTGTCTGTGTCTCTATGTATGCATGCAGGGTGTGGGTATATATATATATCTTTTTTGTTAATTACCGACGTATTTGCATTTTATTGTGTCGAAGGGCGAGCTAATTTGCATACATCCTCGCATATTTAATGGCACTAATAATAACAATGATCTGCGTTGCATAAGGAGGACGCAATTAAATGCGAATGTTTTATGGTTCAGGGGGGGATTCGTGTCTGAATTAGCGCTCGGATGGATCGACGATTTATTTATCTAGTTTACACACTTTCCACTCGTTTCAATTAAGATTTCTGTATTTTGATACGAAGTTTAATTAAAAAAAAAACATATAAAAAAACGCGGTTTAACTAACTGACACATTCATCATGTCGGTTTTGAAAAAACAATTTTTAATTTGTTTAATGTCATCATGACAACCACACATGTCAATTAGATCATTAAATAAGCAAATTAAAGACAAAATTATTGTCATTTCTACAAGCTTGGCTTTTTAGCATTTTCTTATAATAATTTTTCAAACTTGAGTAATCAAATTCTCGAATGGATTAACGATTTATTTATTTAGTTTACACACTTTCCACTCGTTTCAATTATGATTTCTGTATTTTGATACGAAGTTTAATTTAAAAAAAAAACATATAAAGAAACGCGGTTGTTTAACTAACTGATACATTCATCATTTCGGTTTTGTAAAAACAATTTTTTAATTTGTTTAATGTCGTCATGGCAACCACACATGGCAATTAGATCATTAAATCTGCAAATTAAAGACACAATTATTGTCA